TAGTATCAAAATTAGGTCAAAATTTCTACTGCTAATGCAGCTCAGAGTTAGAGAGGGGAAAAAAGGATCATCTCTCCTTCTATGAGGTTGCTCTGCAGATGTGTTCACATCACAATATTTAAGTGGAGGGTCAAATTCTATAGTACTAACAGCAGCATCAGGAAATACAGCCAGTTAACCCAAACACAGTCCTTCTCTGTTGGAGATGCACATGCCGAAGAAGGGAAGTTATATTCATCTAATCATCAAGACCAAGTGAATCTCCTCATAAACCAATGGAGTCACAGATTTTACCACCAAATCACAACCACATCCACAGAAGGTGTATAACACACTTTACTGGATTATCTTGAGATGCCAGCACCATTTTTTTTCACTTGTATCATTCTTTTGCATTGCCCATCATGAAAATTTTAGTGACACAGAGAAAACATCAAAGGGAAGAAAAAGGATTTGTATGAAATAAACAAACCACATGACCACTAAAAAGATGATCCTATTTTCTCAATCCTCAAATGAACATTTTTAATTTTTCTGAAATTAAGATTTTTTAAAATCTCAGTATAAAGAAATCTGCCAGCCACCAGGCAGAGATATTACATATATTAACCATTTCATTATTACTTCATTTAGTTGCATTTGCCAGTAATGCTGCCAATTAAATTTTAACAAATTTGAAATCTCTAATCATTGTGTGAAACAGTTCCACGAAGACACTACAACTCAGTAAAATAAAAATTAGCTGTATATAGAGAAGATGGCTTGTCACGTGCCAAGCAATGTAATTAAAGGCAGTAGAAACAGCCAAATTTCTCAGAATAGATCAGAAATTTTTCACATTTAGCAAATATTGGTTTCAGCAATTCATATATCCACAGCTTTCATCACTCTGGCACTTAAAAGCTTCTAATGTCCAAGAGAAGCTGCTTAACTTCTCAAGGATATTTAACTTAAAGGAAAAAATAAAATTATAAGTTTAACAGGAAATGCAGTCAAATCCAACAAAGTCTTCTACGGGTTTCATATCATTCTCAATTCTACAAGTATTGAAGAAAATCATTATCATTTATTTTAAAAAAAATGGCATATCACCAGGGTGCTCTGCCAAATTATCAATGATAAAAAGTGATTAAGAAAAATCATCATATTCTGAATGTGAAAAATGACTTAGACTCAATACTTTTACACTCAAGAAAAAGTAGTATACAATTAATGCTATACTAGAGATATAAAGTTTAATAATTCTGTGTACTTTTAATGTAGTATTTCTTTTCTCTACCTCCCTGAGCCACAAAGCTGTTACTAAACAATCATTTGGCATATCTGAACACTGTATATGCATGATATTATAGCTATTACTATATTTAACTTATCTTTCAAGAGACTAGGTTGGAATCAGAATACATATTTCTCAAAATAAATGATAGTTCATAGCTCAAAAAAAGCAATTTCTACTCAACATTTTATCAAAAAGAAAAATCTCTATTTTTACTCCTATTCCATGTAAGTCAATAATTTACAAACATACACACATACCCCAAATCAAGTTTATCAGAGATTAGTGAAAACTGAAAGAGCTAATAATGAACTAACAACCAAATTAGAATTCAACAATCTCTCCAGCTAAAACAAAGGATCAAAACTAACAAGAGAAAATCTAATGAATGTAAGGTCCTGGGGCCAGCGCTGTGGTGTAGCGGGTAAAGCCGCCACCTGAAATGCTGGCATCCCATATGGGCGCTGATTCAAGTCCCGGCTGCTCCACTTCTGATCCAGCTCTCTGCTGTGGCCTGGGAAAGCAGTAGAAGATGGTTCAAGTCCCTGGGCCCCTGCACCCGCATGGGAGACCCAGAGGAACCTCCTGACTCCTGGCTTTGGATCTGCAGCTCCAGCCATTGCAGCCAATTGGGGAGTGAACCAGCAGATGGAAGACCTCTCTCTCTGCCTCTCCTTCTCTCTCTGCGTAACTCTGACTTTCAAGTAAATAAATTAATACTAAAAAAAAAAAAAAAAGGTCCTGTGTTGAGGTGAAAAAATAAATGTAAGAGGGGATAGAGTAGGCAAGCAGATCTCTTACCAAAAAAATTTAAAAATTCACATTCTCATGATTGTATAACTGTATGATGCTTTAGAGTAATACAGTCATGTTGTCATTGCTTATGAGGCTACTATAGCTCCATTACTAAGGCTGGTTCCAGGTACCGTCCTCAAAGTGAAGAATTAACAAACTAGAGCCATACTAAAAGAAGATGATGATGATTTTATACTTATTTAACACACCCATATAACCACATCACATGAGGATTGGATATAGAAATTAGGAATATTTAACATAAATAGAAACAGAATGTGATAGTTCTTGTCAAATTTCTAAAGAGGGCTATCATGTGGACAAAGTAGCTCATTTATTTTTGCCATTACATAACTAAGAAATTAACAAACAAGAGTAAAAGATTTGAGTTCTACAGAAAAACCATGAGAGCTGTCCAAAGGCAGAATCTCTCTACAAGGCTTCACTAAGTACTAAATGAGAAAAATACATACTGACGAACTTTGCTATTACTCACAACATACACAGTGTAAGAATTTAGTTCCATGCAATACAGTAGGTCCGCATCAACAAACTATTAGTTCCATTCCTAACTTTGCAACTTATACATAAGTACCGTTCCCTTCCCTCTCTAGACTTCACTTTTCTCATCTTTAAAATGAGGATAAAACTATCTGCTCTGCAAAGCTGTTGTGAGGATTCTTTGTAGGTAAATACTTAGCATAATCTGACATGTTCAAAAAATTATATCTATAATAATTATCATCATTATCTTCATCACCATCAAGTGCTGGATGGAATCCCTATGGTGAATATAAAACAAGGTGATATGTGGTATAATTACACAATCATTAAGCATCTATGAGTGGATGGTTCTGCTATGTACCCATCATGCTGTAACAATCCAAATATAATCTACAGCTTGTTTTCATTTGGATCATTTTAAGAATCATTTATTATTTGTAATTTGTAAGGGAAAATATCCTAAAATCTGAATAAAGCATCCAAGTAAGTAAAATATCAAAAATAATAATGTAATATTGTAATGAGGAAATTATGAAGCTAAAGGGGGAAAAAAGAACTAAAACAGGAGCACATTAAAAAAGAAGCTAGTCTTCCCAAAAGACTTCACTTGCAGGAGATAAGAATGTATATTACAGGGGGAAAAAACAATTACATTTTCCACAGGTATGTAAACCACTGGTTACATACAATAACAAATAAGGGTCAGATAAAAGCAACATAAATATTTCACATAAAAAGTGATTTTTAGTGGACTAAGGACCAGAGAGTAAGGGTATATGGGATTCTAATTACTTTGAACAGAATTTGAACTTTAACAACTGTATTTGTAAATGTTGGCTGAAAGAATATGGGAGTCCAAAAATCCTGCAATTCCGTGCCTTCTGTGATATTCAACCATGTCTTCTTTTAAAGGGAATTAACTCCCAAAAGGATCCTTTTATCTGTTTTCAGAGATATTTTCAGGTAGTGTAACTCTACGTTAGAAACAACCGTCACAAGGTAAGACATGCAGCTACTACGCAGACCAAATTTGAAAAGCTTCCTAGTAACCGACTAATAAACCAAGGCTACAATCCACCTCCTATGAACAGCTAACTCTTCCCCACAGGATTAGAATATATTACCATCAACAAACAACATTAAGTTTGTCACAACAGCAAAATAATGAAATAAATCAAATGTAGGAATAAAAGCTGGGCACTGTTTTAAGGACCTTGTAACTTAAAGTTTGATTTACACTAAATGATAGGCACAGACATTAGTTTCAACTACAATATCGTAAATTCAGAAAATAAGTGCAGAGAATTATACCGCAAATAGAAACCTCACACTTTCTAAGGCTCACTTTTTTGTCCTAATTTTAGATAAGAAGCCTAGAATCCAACAGAATTAAGGGAGTTTTTTCCACAGGCAAGTATTTCATTAATGTGCCACATCATTTTAGCCCAAGGTTGAGTGTGTCCTAACTGAATGTATACAATAACAGCCATGTTAAGTTAAAAGCAGACCTAGCAACAATATTTGCCAATTACCCACTTTCAAATGGCCTGTCAAATGTTGAAAAAGTACCAGTATTTTACATCAGGGCTCATGAATAAAGATAATATTGCTTAAAGGCCAACTCAATCGCATTAGTTTTCACAACTAAACAAACAAAAAATTCAGCCAAGATAAGGAATAAAAATATAGCCTTTCATTAACAAATATACTGTAATTTCTCACATAGGGTATGATGAAGTTACTATTAAGAACCACAGTACTATTTTTAGTCACAGCCATCAAGATGAGCTATTACTACTAGCAATTATATAGGTAAAATAAGGAAAATAATTTTTTTAATTAGCTCCTGAGAAGTCACTTTAATTGCTGCAGGTATCAAATGCGAACGAATTCCTACTGTGTGGTTTTCACAAACCCGAGAGCAGACAAAAAAGAAACAGAAAATCTAATGGCAGGTGGAAATCACAGCCAGTTGTAACCAAGTTGGGATCGATACCTGGGTCATGCAGGGAGGTGGATGGGCAATTTATGTGTTCAAAAGTAAAGATCCCAAGGTGGAGCAGGGAGAAGTTTAAAGGAAAAAAAAAAAAAATCGTTCCATAAACACAGGAAGAAGAACAGCCCGGACCAGAGGCAATCTAAGATTTCTCAGTCAAAAATGAGCACATCGAAGGCCTGTCTCAAAGATAAACAAAACTGCTTCTCACAGGAAACTTTGAAGTGGACAAGAAGGAAACATTCCTTTGCACCCACAGGAACCGAGCCCCTGACCACTGGCATGCTATTCCTGAATGGCCATGATTTACGGGCATCTGGCCCGGGCGATGGGCAAGGGGGAGAAGGAAGGCACTCCCGGAGGGGGGCCTGGGATTTCACAGGCCCGGGGCAGGCGCACCCTGGGCTCGGGGAAGGAGAGGCTCCTCACCGTGATTATCTTTCTGCCCGATATTGTGTGTGCGGATGAGCGAGGACAGTCTCCTCACGTCCCCCTTGAAGACGCACTCGTGCACCGGGTAGTGCGCGGGGCAAGCGCCTCCGTCAGCGACGACAGCGACCGGGTTGGTGCCGGCCACAAGGGCCGGGGACTGGGAGGTGGTAGTCACGGAGGAATTGTGCGACGGCAGAGTCGGGGCGCCGGGGGGATTGCAGGAGGCCGGGGCTGCCTTCAGCTGCAGCCGGTGGTGATGGTTACTGAAAATCTTATGACAGCCTTTGCCGCCCTTGCCGCCGCCGCCGCCGCCGCCCGTGCCAAGCCTGCCTCCGGTGAAGGTGCCGCCGAGGGCAGCCGCCGCTTCCTCATCCCCGGGCTCCAGCAGGTCCCCCTCTTCTTTGCTGGGCTTGTGGTCCCTCCGCAGTGAGCGGATCTTCTCCCCGGTCATCGCCGCCGCCAGGCGCAGGGCGGGGATCCGGGAGGCTCACCGCGGGCGACGGAGCTGGCGCAGCGGCGGCACGAGGCGATTAGAGCGGCGGCCGGGAGCCTCCAGCGCAGCATGAACTCCCAGAGCGCGCCCGAGCCCGGGACAAACGCATCTCCCGGAGAAAGCAGCGCCGGCTCCCGCCTAGGCACCGCGGGACCCGCGCTCGCTTGGGGGAGCTAGAGCTCAGCCGGCCTGGACCCTGGAATCCCAGTCCCCGCCGCCGCAGTCGCCGCCGCTGCCTCACACCGAAGAACAGGGCACGGCCATCTTCCCCTGGCTTCTCTCGTGAGAGCTCCCCGGAAGAGGGCGGAAACACCGCGATAAGTGAGCTGTCCCGCTCCCTCCCTCGCACCTTCTATTCCCAGGCAGCCTCTGGGCGCCGGCGCTTCCCGGCGCTTCCGCCCCCGTGGCTGGAGTTCCAGAGCCCGGAGGCCCGGGCCTTGCTGCCTCGCGGGCCGCGCTTCTTTGTGGGCAGTCGGAAACCTCGGCCTACGCTGGCAATGTTTCCGCGCACGTTATAAACAATGACTTCCACCCTGCGACCTCGGAGCCTCCCGCAGAGGAGTGCAGGATGACGCCGGTGCTCGCAGGATGTGATGTCACTGGGATGCACAGGACACTCATTCAATAAACATGGACTGGGCATCTACGTCGTGCCATGCCCTGAGCGCCTTAGATTTATAAGACGCCACGCCTGACTCCCAGGAGCACTGTAGAGGAGGGAAAAGTTCACTGGGTACAATATATTGTGCCTTGTTTGGTGCAGCAATTGAAGCCGACACACACACACAGAGAGAGAGAGAGACAAGGAAGGGAAGAAGGCTAGTGTTGAGGTGTCAAAAAACTTCATCCTGGAAGAGTCTAGGGCTGACTTTGAAAAATTAATGGCCCATTCAGCAGACAGGAAGAGAGAAGGCTACAAAGATATGTCCTGGAGATGGATGAATTTGGGGCAGATGTCAGTTGAAGTATGGACTGCGGACTTTGGCGCATAGCAAAGAATAATTGTGTAACTGAAAGATTACTGGACTGGTTCATGGCCAACCTTAAGCCAATGTCAAATTCTAAAGAAATGTCAACCTGATAACCACGAAGTTTTGACTAAGTAAGTAAAGTTGCAGAGCACGGGGTGGGGGTATAACAATCACCTATTTACCTCTCCAAATCCCCTTTACTCTGACAGCTGTTTCTCTTATATCTCTCCTTTGTTAAATTTGATTATCACCCCTATCTATTCCCACCCCTGACAAAACCAAAGAAAGCCTGGCCTGTCTTTATCCTCCCAGGTCCCTGGGATTTGTTGGTTTAAATGTTGTGTATTTGAAGGGAGCAGAGCGTGGACATGGAGAGAAACAGAAAGAGAACTCCTATCTGCTAGCTCAACTTCCGAATGCCTGCAACAGCCGGGGCTGAGCCAGGAACTCACGTTGGATCTCCTCCATAGGCGACAGGGATTCAACTACTTGAGCTGTCACCTGCTGCCTTCCAGGGTGAAACTGGAACCTGGAGAACTAGATGTAGGACTTGATCCCCCATGCAGTACCTGCCCCATTACCAAGTTTTCAGCTCCAATTTTACCAATCTACTGAACTCAATCCTTTCTTCCTTTTCTCTTTATTTCTTTCCTTTCTTGGTAGAGGGGAAAGTGGGGGTTCCATTTATATTCAAACTTGATCCAATCAACACTTCAAAGGATCCTCCTAAGAAAGTGAAAGATATTGAACACATACATACAATATTTTGTTCTTTGGCGGGGGCTGTGGTGCAGTAGGTTAAGCCTCTGGCTGTAGAGCCAGCATCCTACATGGGCTCCAGTTCCAATCCAGCTCCCTACTAATGGCCTGGGAAAGCAGTTGAAGATGGCCCAAGTGTTTGAGCCCCTGCACCCATGTGGGAGACCCACATTAAGCTTCTGGCTCCTGGCTTTAATCTGGCTCAGCTGTAGCCATTGTGGCCATTTGGGGAGTGAACCAGTGGGTGGAAGATCTCTCTGTCTCTGTCTCTCCCTCTCTCTGTCTGTAACTCTGTCTTTCAAATAAATAAATAAATCTTAAAAAAAAAAAAGAAAACTCATTCACTCATAGTTTAGAAAAGTATCAAGAACAGATTATAAACTAAGTGGCCACTAAGTCAGGTAATAGGTGTGTTAATATATACATGCAAAAGTGTGGTAGAGTATATACAATACGCAGAGTGAACAATGGTCACATCTGAGAGATAAGGTTGCTAAATCACTTCTTCCCTGTAAAAGTGCACGAATTCCTTTCTACAAAGAGAAAATATTGCTTTTTATTAACCAGAAAAAACAACAAATAATTCTTTTAAAAAGTTTGCAGGTGAGAAATAAGCGTCACCAAGTTTGTAAGAGTGAGGCTGGAAAAGATTAAAGAATTAAACAACATTGGCATATTGAGTTGATGGTTTCTGTTCCATGTCTGGAGGGATTAAAAGAGTATGTGTTTTGGATATTTGAAAGTGAAGCTCAGGAAACAGACCTGAGTTTAGGCTGAGTTCAGGAGTTATAATTACATATGATTTGATGTCACAGAAGTGGTTTGATTTCCCCTAGGAAGAGAATATGGAATGAGAATTAAGAATGCATAGTGTGGAACAAAACCTTGAAGACACCAATATTTAAAAGGTGTGGATAGGAAGAGTGATTAGCTCTTATCACCAAAAACCTACAACCAAATATTCTACCATTATATTTGAGCTGTTGTTTTCACTAAGTCCATAATTTAAAAGGACTTAATAGTGGCTACTGCACATGGATGAATGTGAGAATTCCTAAGTGTTCCTCCAATAAAATCAAATACCATAAAGATTAAAAAAATAATATTCAGCCTTTACTTTTAAAGATTCACGATGCAATAGGGAAAATGACATATAAATAAAAGTTTATAAAAATACTGTGAAAAATATAAGCTTTTAAATTATACTAGATCCCAGTGTAAGAAGAGTAAGTTATTAATTCTATCTGGAAGAAATGGAAATCAGGTGATCAGGAAACCTTTCTGGAGGAGGTAATGTTTGAACATTAAAGAATGTGTATAGGGGCCGGTGCTGTGTCATAGCGGATAAAGCTGCCACCTGCAGTGCCAGCATCCCATCTGGGCACTGGTTCCAGTCCTGGCTGCTCCACTTCCAATCCAACTCTCTGTTATGACCTGGGAAAGCAATAGACAACGGCCCAAGTGCTTGGGCTCCTGCACCAGGATGAGAGACCCAGAAGAAGCTCCAAACTCCTGGCTTCGGATTGGCCCAGCTCCAGCCATTGTGGCCATTTGGGGAGTGAACCGGTGGATGGAAGGCCTTTCTCTCCCTCTCTCTCTCTCTCACCCCTTCTGTCTCTCTGTAACTCTGCCTTTCAAATAAATGAATGAATCTTAAAAAATAAAAAAAAGAATGTATAGGTGTTGACCAACTGGGCAAGAGGGAAAGACATTTTTTTTTTTTTTTGACAGGCAGAGTGGACAGTGAGAGAGAGAGACAGAGAGAAAGGTCTTCCTTTGCCGTTGGTTCACCCTCCAATGGCCGCCGCTGCAGCCGGCGCACCGCGCTGATCCGATGGCAGGAGCCAGGAGCCAGGTGCTTTTCCTGGTCTCCCATGGGGTGCAGGGCCCAAGCACCTGGGCCATCCTCCACTGCACTCCCTGGCCATAGCAGAGAGCTGGCCTGGAAGAGGGGCAACCGGGACAGAATCCGGCGCCCTGACCGGGACTAGAACCCGGTGTGCCGGCGCCGCAAGGTGGAGGATTAGCCTATTGAGCCACGGCGCCGGCCTAGGAAAGACATTTTAGGTAATATAATTAATAGAGTTATTGTTATGATGATGTAATTTATTGCAAGCTTACCATGTGTCAGGCATTGCTCCACCTGCATTTCAAGAATTTATCTAATCTTCAGATTTAATCTTCAAAGTCTGTGTGGTGGGGCCATCTGCAAAACCAGCATTCCATATGGGTGCTGATTCGAGTCCCAGCTGTTCCACTTCCAATCCCACTCCCTGCTAATGTGCCTGGGAAAAGCACTGGAAATGGGCCCACGTATTTTGGCCCCTATACCCACATGGGAGACCCAGGTAAAGCTCTTGGCTCCTGGCTTCAGCCTGGCTCAGCTCCAACCATTGTGGCCATTTGGGGATGGAATCAATCAATCTCTCTCTCTCTCTCTCTCTCTCTCTAACTCTGCCTGTCAAATAAATAAATAAATCTTAAAACAAACAAAAAACCAGTTGTTGTGTGGCCACTGTGACATAGCAGGTAAAGCTGCTCCCTGTGACACTGGCATCCCATATGGGCACAAGTTTGAGGCACAGCTACTCGAAAGCAGTGGAAGATGGCCCAAGTGTTTAGGCCCCTGACGCCCAAGTGGGACACTGGGATGAAATGCCTAGCTCTGGCTTCTGCCTGGCCCAGCACTGGCCATTGCTAGGAGTGAACTAGGACATGGAAGATACCTCTCTGATATCTCTCTCTCTCTCTCTCTCTCTCTGTAATTATGACTTTCAAGTAAATAAAGAAGTAAATCTTTTTTAAAAAGTAATTGAATTAATCAGAGCAAAAAACAAAACTATATTGTACCAAAACAAATGTAAACTTAAGTTTTAAATCATCCAACTCTGACTGTGCTGAACTTGTTCACTACTTTCCCAAATTATTTATGAACCCTAAGAATACATATAACTTAGGACTTTTTTTTTTACTTCAAGTAACAGTAAATCCAATTGAAACTGACTTAAATTAAAGGGATTTATTTACTTACATAACAAAAAAGTGCCCCCTACAAACCCCATACTAGTTTCTCAGGGACTCTCTCAGGAGGTTTCTATTTGGAGCATCCTCCTTAGGCCAACTTCCCTGTGGGACACAAGATGAATGGCAGAAGAAACAGGAGCCTTATGCTTCTTCCTTCAGCGCCAGTCCCAAGGAGATCTCGTTGCCATCACTCAAGTCTGGAGCTCAGTCAGTCAGACAGGAGACAGCTCTGCCCAATACCTGTGCCCGGCAGAATGTTGATTGGCTCAGGCCTAGATCACCTGGACAAATCCCTGTGGAGGAGGACATTACCTTAGTTTTGCCCAATCCGGATTCATCTCTGTCAGAAGTAGAGCCAACTCCCCTAACAAGGGGACTATTTCATGATGGGAATGAGGTGAGAAAGATGGGAGACAAATAAAGAGCAGTCAGCAAAAGTACTACACTCAGAGACTAAAAGTACGATTTTACTTGAAAAACAAACGTAAAAACCCTATTATCTGTTATCACAGTTTCTTGGATTAAATATGATGAAATATGTAGTAATTATCAATTATATCAGTATATAGTGGATGTATAAATTCACCAGCAAGTAATATGTTCACTGTTTATTCAAATGTTACCAAGATGGAACTCAATCCAGCAATTTAAGTGTGATGTAACTTAACTACTGAATTTGCAAGATAAATACCCTGGTTCTACAGATTAGCACTTCTTTGTTCCCCTCTTAGTGTGGTCAAGAATCCAAATAATCCTCAGTTTTCCTTGAGTAACATAAAGAAGTCCCTTCTGATAATT